TAATCCCGTGTGTATGTGTGTGTGTGTGTGTGTGTGTGTGTGTGTTGGTGTTTATGTAATGCTCTCTCCCCTACTAAGACTGAAACCTTGATAAGAGCAGAGACCATGTCCCTCTCATTCTCCATAGTATCTCCAGCTCCTAGCCCAGAACCTGGCATAAAGTAGACTCCCTAAAAATATCTGATGAATGAAGGAATGAACGCATGAGTTCGGATGAAAGATGAGTGAATGGGTGGAGATATCTTCTGGCAGCAGCGGATCTTGGCATTGTTCTCCATCAGGGCTGACCTCTCCCAACTTCTCCTGCTGCCCCTGAGGCAGGCGCTGGAAGCACTGGTAGCCCAGATGCTATTTCACCTCCTTCTTCCTTGTAGGGAATAAGCTTCTGGGTCTTCTCCATTTGGGACTTTCTGATCCAGTCCGCATCTGCCCACAGGGCCTCTCACACCACTGTGGTCCTTCTGACGCCAGTCCACACACCCGTGGGGCCATTCCCTTCGGATGACCCTAGGCCCACCATCTTGGTCCTCCGTTTTGGGTCCAGCTGAGGTGAGGTTACTGTGTGGTAGGGGATGCCCAAGAAAGAGTTAAGTTGCCAGAAGCAGAGTCCTGCCCTTGGGTTTGCTCAGCCAATCAGAGTCTGTCCTGATGAGGTAAAGCTTCTATCCTGGGTAGCATTGGTTGAGTTGGCCGGCCCCATCTCCTGCTGGAGAGAGCCATAAGGGTGCAGTTTCTGTGGAACCAGACAGAACTGGAATTAGCTTGCTGTCGACTCGGGCCAGGGCTGCCTGACTCCGGGACCTGCCCCTGCTGCTTTCTAAGGTGCTCAGATAGACCCTGGCATCTCCAGGGCCCCATCTCTAGCTGCCCTAGTGGAGATGACGAGGTGGCACGCACTCTGGTGTCACACCTGGGAGAAGTCTTACAGCCAGGGCACACCCGGGAGGCCTCAGTTTCCCTGCCTGGTCCCAGGAATACAGCAGGTGGCTACCAGGAAGTGACATGGAGCAGTCGTTAACGTGTGCTCAACGCGGCAGCATTCAGCTTCAATAAACAAGGTCACTAGATGAATCTTCCTATATAGACATAACTTTAATAATAGTAATAATTCACAGAGTTCTTCTTGTGTGCCACTTTGCTAAGCGCATTACATGAGTTTAATCCTCACGAGAACCCTGTTCATCCATCTACTTTACTAATGAAAATCTTGAGTCTCAGAGAGCCTCGGTGCCTCGCCTGAGGTCACAGAGCGGTAAGAGCTCACGCCTCCCATATCACTCGCTATGTTATTTTTTGAAACGTCTGTTGGCGTATCGGTCTCCACCGCTGGACCGCAATTTCCCAAGGAAAGAATATGACAGACTCACCCGTGCATTCCCAGCACTGAGCTCAGGGTGCACCCCGAGAAAGGTCCATTGCCCAGGCCAGCGCTGTGCATGTGGTGGGAGCTCGTGGAGGTTCACTGACAATGAATGTACAGCCAGGAGTCCTCCACCCGCCCCCATAAAGGACCTAAACTAAGTGTCTGGCCCACAGCAGGCATTTATTTCTATATTTGATTGAATGACCAACACAATATGCATTTGTCTCTCCCTATTAGCTTGGCCTTAACAGCCACAGGTAGGACCACCTGTGAGTTATTCTAGATCAGCAGCGTGGCAGCGTTCCCCACGGCAGGGAGTTTAGTAGAAGTTGTCCCAGGTGGAAGAAGACAGGTAGTTTCCCTCCAGGGATAGACGATGAAGCAAGAAAGCGGGCAGAATGCTGATGAGGAAGAACGGGGTGGTGAGAAAAAGGAAGCTGGGAGAGGAGAGGAAGCCGGCCACTTATTTCTAGAGTAAGAGGGAGCACGCAGGCCCACCTGGAGCAGCCTTCCACCTGCCGCGGTCAGCCAGGAGTGAGCCGGAGACAGGCAGTGGAGCCCCAGAGACGGGATGCAGTCGGCTGCTGCCTGTCTCATTGTGTCCTTGCCCCAGCCGGGACCCCAACACTGCAACCCAAGGTCACAGGCACAGCACAGAAAGCCTATGTCTGCCCCTCTCCCCCGACAGGAGGGGAGTAGACCTGGCCCCTAAGGGCAGCGCACTTCTCAGGCAATCAAGTTATACAGAAATCTTGGAGAACTGGACGACTCCAGGTCCTCAACTTTCATGAGAATCACAAAGCTTGAAGAGCTGCGAAGAGCCACCTGACCAATGCATAGATGGGACCGCCATGGCGGAAGCGGTTGCCAAAGGTCACACAGCAGGGAGTGGCACACCTGCCTCTCTACTGTCCTTTGAAGCCATCTTCCTCCAATTCCCTCTGTCTTTCCCCAGAAGCATTTCACGTTCAGGGCATATCACATTTATCATGTTTTGCAAATTGGGGAAGAACTTTTGCATTTTTTGAGATGTTTGAAGAATCCCACATTCCAAGTGTCAGCAAACACCACTGAAAGGAACAGGGTTGAGAAGTGGCAGCACAGGAGTTTGGGGAGCTGCTTTGCAAAGCCCTCTTTCCCCAGAGAGGCACTGGAGGTGGGCAGACAAGGAGTGGCTTAGGCATTGGTTTCCATTCTGCAGCAGAAGGTGGAACAGTCTCAGAACAAAGAAAAGGCGTTTAAAAAAAAAAAAAAAAAAAAAGGCACGCTCCTCAGTGAGGTCTCAAAACAGATTTCAGGCAGAAGTGTTCTGCTTGACCAAAGCAAGAAGCCAGTGTCCAAGCTCTGCTTGGCCTTCCCTCTTCTCTCTCCCCTGGAGGACAGCAAGCCTAGTAAAAGGGCTGTGGCCCAGCCCTTGGCAAGGAGGTTCACAGTCACCTCGGAGGCAGCCAGGACCTGATGGAGCTGAGCGCAGGTGGATGGCCTGTGCCGGTTGGACAGCCACCTGGGCCCGGTGGTTAAGGTTTTTTTTTTGCTGAAGCACTTCTGGAGCCATACAGGGCTGGAGAAAATCCTCTTTACGGGGACTTCTCTCAGGAAGCATGCTGCAAGCGACTAGAAGGAATGAGCTGCTATGACTCTTCCAGTGGGTGTTATGGGAGTAGGGAAGGTTGGGCAGCGAGATCCCCAAGGGGCCTGCCTAACAAAAAGTGGTTACTAAGTGCCTTTCAAGGAGCGTGGGCCAAGTGGGGTGTGCCGGCTGGGCAGGGCCCGCTCCCAGGTGAGGGGCAATCCTGAGGCCATCCCAGCGGTCAGGCCCTCCGTCTTTTCCCTCCTCACGCCCAACACAGAGCTTCTCCATTAAGCACACGTTTAAAGAGTTTTGATTTGAAGACGCGTCCAGCCGTTGCCTGCCCATGCTGCCCATATATCTTGGCGTGGCCCGGAAGCCAGGCCCCAAACCCTCGGGCCCTTCCAGGGTCAGTCAGCCAAGCCCGCAGCCCTGCGGCGACCAGCGCCAGAAACCCAGACTACCTTCAGTCACTCAAACTGTCCCCCTCATCCCCCAACTGAAGGTGGAGAGACTCCCCAGGGCGTTGAGAAGGCTGTTGCCAACACTCTCCAGAGCCGGCAAACTCTGAAGCTGAGGCAGAAAGAACTTTTTCCCCAGATCAGGAGGAGCTAAGCCTAAAACACAAGAAAACTGAGGAACACAAGTGCAAGCGTGCCACATCCCAGCGGCCACCCCAGTGAGGAGGAAGTGGCCTGGTCTCTGATTGTGACCGACCCAGGATCAAGGGGGCCAGGCAGCCTACAGCCTTGGCAAGTCTCCGTTGAGGAGTAGAAGCTGAGACTGGGAACCAGCCAGCGTAGCAAGAGCACCTACTGAATACCAGGCACTGTGCTATGAACTGTGTATGCACTGTCTCATTTAATTTGCACAACAACCCTTTGGAGGAGAAACTACTATCCCCAGATGGGGGCACCAAGGCACAGAGTAGTACAGTGACTTGCCCAAGGTCACCCGCCAGCCAGCAGCAGAATGTGACTCGGAAGTCCGTGCTGTGCCCGCTGTCCTCCCTCATCACAGTTATTCTTGCCCCTGGCAAGTGTAAAACAAGATAACTGTCGAGTCTGAGATCACATAATTCTCAGACACGCGCTATTTGAGGAGCTGCCGTCCACCACCACCCCACCAGCAGGGTCTGCGCAGCAGCCTCTTCCCCACCTCCCATCCTCAGCAGCCTGCCCCACTGCCCCGTTGGGCTACGTGTGCATGGCGCGCAGGGCAGCCCTCAACGCAGCAGGAAGAAGCACGAGGCCTGCGAGCTGACCAGCTGGCACTCGCTTTCCTTTACCCTCTTCTCCCTGGTTCTGGCCAACCAACTACCACGGCTCCCTCTGCAGCAAATCAGACCAAATCCCAACACGGCCAACACGTTCAGCAAGAGAAGGGACCTGAGTGGCTCACAAATGGGGGAACACAACTGTGCCTCGGCCTGGCATCCGGGGAACCAAGGGGAAGGCTGTAGTCCAGCTCCGATCCCAACGCCCTCCACAGGCACGGGACCAGCCGAGGGGGTGCCTGCCCCAGATCAGCTTCAGCTGGGAGTCTCTAATCTTCCCTGATGCTCCAGCCGGCCGGCTCCCAGTCCCCAGAAAACTCCACTTGGCTCCACCCAGCCGTGGTCTGCATCGAACCGGCACGGCTTCTGCCGCAAACGTCCCCTCCCAACTATGTCTGCTTCGGGCCAGTGTTAAACACCAGCGAGCTCACCGTCCCTGGGCACGGCCTACACCCAATAGCAGAGGGGGACCGCTTGCCAGGCAGCAGCCGGGAGGCCGGCCTGAACTAGACCTTGCCATCGGCAAACTAGAGAACAGAACCGAGAATTGATGGGTCGTGCTCCATTTGGCTCTGTCGCTCTACCTGAGCACCGTCAAACTCGCTCAGTAGATCCCGTGACACGCCAAGGGGGAGAGTCGTTCGAGCACAGGCCTCCTTGCCAAGAGCTTGCTGCCCAGATCCAAGTCCTAAGCCAGGGCTGGTCCCAAGCTCAATTCGGAGGCTCAAGGGTGTAGGCGGGCCGAAGGGGAGCCAGGCAGCCAGGGCTGTGGCCACCAGCGAGGCCCTTACCTTGCCCTCAGGGGACGGAGCCGCCAGCTGTTGCTGCTTCGCAATGTTCTCCGACAGGCACCAGCACACTCTCTTCTTCTGCTCGTGCGAGTGAGCTTCCAAGGTGAATAAGCACTCTGCCTTCTGATGTCAGGGGAAACAGAGAGAGGGGCATTCAGCACTGCTCCCTGGTTCAGGGGCTCCCAGGACCAAGCCCAAGCCCATCCCTGGGCTCCAGAGGGTGAGGCTGCAGCAGGGAGGGGAGTGACCGCTAAAAGCCACAAATGCACACTAATCCCCGGTGACATCGAGGCAGCTAGACGAGCAGGGAAGCTGGCTCAGGGGCCAGCTGGCGAGCCGTGTGCCCACGGGTTGGGGAAAGGGAGGGAGGCAGTGGTTCCCAACACAGTGGAGTTCTGTGGAGAGCCACCGACTGCGATGGTGAGGTCACCCCCGGGGACAGGCAGCACAAGGCAGCAGCTGGGGGAGCACGTGGGGAACCCAGAGGGCCAAGGTCTCCGCCCCTCTGATGCTCTACGGAGCCAGGACCCCTCCCCGGGCTCACAGAACCCCTCTCCCCAACCTCAGCACACTCATCTGATCACAAGGCCAAAGTTAGATGGGTGCCCAAACAGCGACTCGGTCCCTTTGGAAAGTCCTTGGGGAGCAGTTGTGTGGCCTTCTCCAGCCCCACTACTGCCTGACACGTGAGCTGGGTCTGATCAATGACTGTTCAGTTCAACTGAGTGCAAGTCTCTACCACTGCTATCATTTAAATCTCACTTTGCTATTTAACCTTGTTAAATGCTGCAGTCTTGTCTCCCCAACTAGACTAGAAACTCCCTCTAGGAAGGCCTTTTTCAGCCGGGCCTAGCACAGTGCTTGGCAAGTGAAGGCCTCAGTAAGCTCTGGCTCCCTGGAGGGACTTCTGGGATGAGGTCAAATCCAGGCCAGCTTACAGGCACCAGGGAGCAGCTGGGACCCAGGAAGTCGGCCCCGCCCCGAAGGAGTCAGAATGTGCTGGGGGCGGGGAGGGGCGGGACAGCACGCCCAGTGTTATCATCCTCTCCAGGACGCTCTTAGCAGAGGATGGCTAGCTCTTTCTGTCTCCGCTGGAATTTGATTATAACCCCACAGGGCTGCGATTAGATGAACTCATCCAGGGAGCTAAGAGCGTGAGCCGGATGGATTGGAACAGAGAAAAAGACAGTGTTTCTACACAGTCCTTCCTTGTTTTGCAGTTGGACAGGCCTGGTTTGAATCCCAGCTTTGCCACTTCCTAGCTGTCACCTCAGGAAAGCCTGTAAAATGGGAATGACAGTGATATCACCTACCTCCCAGAGCTACTGGGAGGGCAAGCAATAACCCAGGCCTCAATAAACAGCAGCTATTGTTGTTATTAGTACTAAATTTGTTTAAGAAATATTTATTGAGCACCTATTTTGTGTCAGTGACTGTAGTCAGTGACTACAGTCACTGACACAAAATAGGTGCTGGTCCCTGGGGATGAAGAGGGAGATAAGAGAGACTGAGTTCTTGCCCTCAGGATGGGGGCAGAGACAATAAACAATTAAACAATGTAATTACAAATTGTGGAAAGGCCAAAAGGGAGAGGTCCTATCTGAGCCTGACAGACGGAGAAGGCCTTTCTGAAGGGGCAGCACTCCAGCAAAGGCTGAACGAGAAAGAGCCAGGCAGGAAAGTGCTAGGGAGAAACTGTTCCAGGCAGAAGGAACAGCAAATGCAAAGGCTCTGAGCTGGGGTGGTTATCAGCATCATCTAACAGCATTTGGGGACATAGTCTACCTGCCATCAAACCCAACCCTCAGGGATGCTCCCCTTCAGGGAAGGGCCACCCCCCATGCTAAGTGTTCCCAGGGTGCCAGCCATTCCTTTCCAGCCCCAAAGTGCTCAGAAGCCGTTCTTCCTAAAAGCATCAGAGGAGAGAGGGAAGAAAGCCCCACCTCTTGGTTTCAGGGAACTGAGTGGATGTGGTGAGGCAATCCTCCCACTTAATAACCGATTCCCTCCACTTCCCAGAACCCCCAGCCCACTGCAGGGGAAGGACACACCCAGCAAAGACCCCAAGATGCTCCAGGGAGAAACCAGGTGGGGCAGGAGCTGACTAGAGGGCCCTCTGCTCCCTGTCTCATTGTGTTGCCCCTGCGAGGGGAGAGTTGGGGCAGGGACTGTGGTCCCTTCCCGCTTGGAAAGGCCATCACTCCACAAATCTGGTCCTGGCCCGAGCCTCCCAGGCCTGCCTCTACCTTTATCTCCCTGAGCCCCAACTTCCTCCTCTCTTTCTGTTCTGAAGCAGGATTCTGCCTTAATAATAATTCCCTTGATCTAAGTATCAATTTTAAAAGGCACCTTCCCATCCATGATCTCAAGAAGGCATCTGAGGCACCAAGGACCTAACCCTAGGCCTGGCTGGGGGGTGGGGCTGGCTGTTTTAGACGGGCACACATTTTGGGGAGGGCCTTGCTCCCAAGGCTCCTCTTTAAGTGTTGCCTAAAGTTTTGGAGGCTGGCCTGGCCAAGAGAGGGAGCATGGAGACAGCTCCCTCCAGGGAGGCTGAATTCCCATCTGCCTAAATCTGTCTAAATCAGGGGCCCCCACTGTCTGCCTGGCTGTCCCTGCATGTGAACCGTCTCTCTTGGTCCACTCTGTGATCCGACTCATCAGTTTCAACACTGATAGACACTGTGCCCTCAAATATCAGGCTCCAAGGTCAAGGTTGTAAGCTGCCCTGAAAGCATCCTCACGAAACTCACTCAGAGGCAGGGCTTCCTTGACTGCAGCGTGGTTAGCTAAGCACAGAGCCCGCCAGACGCAACAGCACTGGGCCCAGACCTCTGCATTCAAACATGAGCATCCCCAAATCCAACTAGAAACATGGCTCCCCTTGCCTTCTTTAAAACCCCCATCTTGCCTCAACCTCCTTCTTCCTGAATTAATATTATCCTTGTAAAAACTAAAACCTCAGGGCTTCCCTGGTGGCGCAGTGGGTTGAGAGTCCGCCTGCCGATGCAGGGGACACGGGTTCGTGCCCCGGTCCGGGAGGATCCCACATGCCGCGGAGCGGCTGGGCCCGTGAGCCATGGCCGCTGAGCCCGCGCGTCCGGAGCCTGTGCTCCGCAACGGGAGAGGCCACGACGGTGAGAGGCCCGCGTATCGAAAAAACAAACAAACAAACAAAAAACCTAAAACCTCTTCTACTACAATTTACGTTTGCTCACTTGCTGTGACAGATGTTCTCTCATTTTATTCAATTCTCTCAGTGGCCCAATGACATAGGGAGGAAGGAAAAACACAGCTGTTACCATTTTTCAGATGAGAAAACTAAGGCTCAGAGAGGTGAAGTCAGCAGCCCCAGGAGGTCTCAGGAGAGGAGGGATTCAAAGTCTGTCTTCCACCTCCTCCAGAGCCTTCGATCTTGCCTCATTTGTTTAACAGCATATGTACATTACAAAAAAATGTGAGATATTCTTCTTAGCTTTTATTTTAAAGGATCAATAAATCATTGGTGATGTCTCTAATGGAGAGTAACTGAATATGAAAAGCTCTCCCCGTGTTAGGAAGCTGACAGAAATAATAGCTACCATTTATTGAGCACTCGCCGTGTGGCAGGTTCTGTGCTAAGTGCCTTGGACACAGTATCTTACTGAATCTCATTTGATCGTTACAACAACCTTACAAGGTAGGACTCATCAGCCTTGTTTCAGAGATGAGTATGTGACTTGCTCAATCTTGGCAGGGCCAAGATTCCAATCTAGGTCTTCCTAACCCCAAAGAGCAGACTCTTAAATTAATGGAGCCAGGATCAAATTCCAAGTTAGCGGATGGTCCCTGACCTGTGTGGCCTTTGACCCGACGCCCCTGGTACAGCCAGTCGTGGGCTGCATCTGTCCCATGGATTTGTAGGGGCTGAGGGACACCTGTCCAGGGAAATAGAGGCCGCAGGGCCAAGGACTGCTCAGAACAATCCCACCCACTTGATAACTAACCAGGACCTACTGCTGGGGAACAATCAGAGCTGCTGCCCCCCAGGCAGTTGGGGCTTTCTCAATGCAGAGTGGAAAACCGTCCCCAAATCCTGACCCTCTTGCCCTGCCCTGGTTCTTCTCTGGACACTACCTGCATGTTAGGCAATGAAGAGAAACCACTTGCTGGGAGTTCCAACTAAGACGTGAGTCTGGGGTTCCCCATGAGTTCCAAAACCACTGTTGTCAAGCCTATTCCAGGCCACAGGGCAGGCAGGGATCTTGTCTTCCCTGTGATACAGACATGCCTCTCGTAAAGAGCAGCCCATTAAGAGAACAGGGGGGCTTCTAGCTGCCTGTGATCTTCAAACACCCAGCCCCTTGGGGTCAGATCACCTGACACTTTACTGAAATAAAAGGTCCCAGATCAATATCCCTTCATCAATCTTTGGAGGGGTAGGAGGTCACAGCTCCCTGGAAACCAAGGAGCAGAAGTGCTTTTCTCTGGGAAAGATAACCCCAGCCTGGCAGGAAGCTGTCTTGGCATTAAAGAACCTGGAGCCTCATTTCAGGCCCCACTGGAGAGAACTGGAATCCAGGTGGGTGAGGCTGGGGAGGTAAATGCTCTGACTCTTCCCAGCCTGCCTCACAGCTTCTCCTAAGCTGCTCGCTCGGCTCCGGGGAAATGAACTCACACCGGCCCTGAAGGGTCTCCACCAGCTACTTCCTGTGCCCGGTGGGGATATGCTGACACAGGGGAGGACATCAATGCCTTCTTGGACCTCGAGTGGCCATTCTAGGCTGCCAGGGTCCCCGGCTCAGCTCCGACAAGGTCCACTGTCCTTTGGACTCCCTGCTGTCCCCTGAAGCTAACTTCTCATCAACTGTCTTGTCCTCAGGGGTCTGTGTTCACCCAAGGGACTCGCCTGAAGCCCTGCACCTCCTATCTTAGCCAGGAACTGAAGGAATGATTTTCCAATCACAAACAACATGCAAATTCCTTCTCCAAATGGTGTACTCCTCTTGGCCAGCCAGTGTAGACCAGGCCTCACCCATAACGTGTGGCCAGTGTAGATTCTCCCACAGAATAGGCAGTTTCCCAGGACTGTTACTGAGTAAGACAGACTAGCAGAAGCAGAGGGAAGGAATGGGTCTAATAAATCCCTGCTTGGAACTGATAGCAGACTCATATGAGCAGAGGTACAAGGCTGGGATTAGAAAATTTGCTGAAAATTGAAAAAATTTGTATGGCTCAGTGGCTCTCAACTTTTTCATCACCAAGGCCCTCTTTGATTAAAGCCCTGGTAATGATATTTTATCTCCCAAACCATATCAAGCAATAAGCTGCTTGCCCCCATTTTTCACAGCAAAGGCACACTGTCTAGCTGAGCTTCTAATCAGACTGAGGTAACCAGTCTTAAGGAATTGAGGAACATCAATCACACTGAGTGGGCGTCACTCCAGCCCAAAACATAGACGCTAGATGGTTTCTTTCACCTGTATTCTCTGGCCCAGTTACCTTCAGGCCTTTTGAAACATTGACAAGACCCTGCAGGAGGGGACATAGGTGGTACCTTCTAGAAAGAGGAGGAAGGAGGTGGGCACAAGAATCAGGGCACTCTATAGAGGAAGGACTACCAAATGAATAGGGTGATGCCTGGCTCTCAGGCCACACCCTCACTGTGACCCACTGCAGGGGCTGGAGACCAGGAAGTCCTAAGCAGGAGACCACAGTTTCCTTCTGTCCCCTCTAAGCGCCTTCATGTCCACTGCTATTCTACACAGAGGTAAGAGACACAGGGGCAGGGGTTGCTGTTCCCATTCCACAGAGCAGGACACTGCCACTCTGGACCTGCCAGGAACCACTGCAGGAGTTGGTATGGAGGCAGCGTCAGATCCTGCACTAGAACCTGGCCCAACATCTTCCTTCAAGCACCAGGACACGGATCTCTCTCCTCAGATTCAGGGGGAAGGACTCACCTCTGCTAGATACAGCACACAGAATTTCAGGTCTTCTGAAGAACCTTTGAGGGAACAAAACGTAAGACTTGCTTTAGAATTGGTTACAGAGTCTCGACTGTTTGCCTAAGCACAGCCAGCTGTCTCACCCAGAGGGCTGTGTGTGGTACTTCCTGTAAAAAGAAGAACAAAGGGGCAGGGAAATCTCTGGAGGAAAGCCCACTTAATATCTAATTAGGTTGAGATACAGCTGTAAGGCCTTTGCCTGCAGGTCAGCCTGACCCAAGGTATACTGAGCTCTCACCCTATGAGAGGTAGCCAGGAGCACCCTCTGGGCATCAAGCAGTGGGGTACAGGGAGCTGTCATCCATCCCAGGAGGCCTCTTCCTTTCCATGCCCCCTGCGATGAGGGACATGGAGGCAGCACACACTTGGGTTTTCTTTTAAACACTCCAACTGCCTTTGCCATTTTGAAATTCAACAAGGAGCCACCCAGGAATGCATGGGCTATGCAGGGGGATCCCCAGTCACGGGCTGGGTGGAGCCCAGAGATGGCTTCCCACCCCAGGCCCAACCCCTCAGTGTGTTTTCCTAGAGCCTTCTCACCCCTGGTCTAGAATCCCAAACTCAAACACTCACCAAACCCTCTCCACCTGGGAGGCAGCTGGGAGGGCCTGTCGGCCACTCCCCGCTCCTCCAGCAGAGAAGCTGAGGTGGGATACCTACCCTAAGGCAGAAGATGATTTGGTCAGCCTGCTGCAGAAACACAAGAGCCAAGAGATGACCCACAGCTGTCAGGGAAGGCTTCCTGACAAAAGGGGGACCCTTCTGAACTTGAACTCAAGATGCGAAGAGAGGGCACTCTGGGAGGTGGGAACAGCACGGGCAAAGGCATGGAGATGGAGAAGCACAAGTTGTGCTCAAGGGATGGCAACTGTGAGGAAGCCCCACCTCCTCCTCCAGGTGGCCTTCCCTGACTGCTGCAGGCTGCTCCTCGGAACCTGGCAGCACTCCCCGTGGGCCACTCATCTGAGCACAGGCCAGGGCTGGTTAGGAACTTCCCGTATTTTAAGCATTCAACCTCACCAGGCAGGTCATCCTTTTTGAGGGAAGCAATCATACAGCACATATAACGGCAAACACTTAAACTGCCATAGGGCTTTAGAGTACCCAGTGCTGTGTGCCAACCACAGCGCCAAATGTTTCATGTGCATAAACTCGACACTCACGACAACCCCTATGAGGCAGGGGTTATTACCATCCATGATTCATGTGAGAAAACTGAGGCACAGGGGGTGAGTAACATGCCTCAGGTAGAAGGGGGAAGAACCCAGATTTACACCCGGGAAGCCTGGTCCCAGAGCTCACGCTCCGAACAACTACACACCTGCCTCTCAAATGCCCACCACGTAGGCCCTACCCAGCCACCTGTCCCCTCAAGGAAACAGGACTAGTGCTGGGCTCAATGCAGAAACCTCAACATACACTTGAATCAAAGAAATGTCAAAAAAACCCAAAATGCATTGCAAAGTAAAGGTGGCAAGGGAAAAACAGAGACGGTGGGTCAAGCCTATTCCTAAGAAAAGTAGTGAGTGAGGTCCTCACGTGGTTGGAGGCCAGGCCCCCTCGGAGCAAGCATATGGGCAGTTTCCTGGGCAAATCTATCCCTAAGGCCAGGGATGTCAGCCAGAGCTAGATGAAAATAGCTCATAAGTAAATGGGGGTTTGCTTTGGAATTAGAATAAATCCTTCTGCTTCTCCCCACCTAGAGATGGCTTTGGCGGGCAGGGGGCAGCCCTGCCTAAGAAGTCCATCGTGTTTAAGAAACCTCTAATTTCAAAGCTTCTGCCAGTTCCTTGCATTGCTGAGGGTGGAGACAAGGGGAGGTGGTTTCTTTTGTTTAAGAAAACACACTGGGACGTTTCCTTGACTTTCCAGAAGCAGACTTTAGTGCCAAGGGAGAAACAAAAAGATCTGTGTAAGAAAATAACAGAATTTTGGGTTTTAGAAGCTGGCAGTGAGAGAAGAGAAGGTTCTAGAAGGGAGGGGAAAGCCAGGTAGATGGGAGCCTCAGGGAGACAGGAGGCCAAGGTTGGGGGATGCAGCCTAGGACATGTTCCCAGCGGCGAGGGATCGCTGATGGATCGCCTTGAAACTTTTCTGTGCCGTGACGCCCCAGCATCGCACCCCTGCGTTACTGCACACCTTCACTGAAATCTGCCTCATGTCATGGCCTCGTGCTGGCAGCACTGTGGGAGTAGGACAGAGTGGGGGCAGCGCTCAGCATGGCTCAGAGCCTCATGAATAAGGACAGCAAGGCTCAGGAGCCAAGGGCACCTGTAAGGAGCTGTAGCTGCAGAAAAGGAGGCTGCAGCGTGGCTGACCCGGGAGAGAAACCTCAGCTCCACCAGAAACCCTTCCAAAACACTGGACTGGGCTGTGGACTTTCCAGAGTGTGGAAACAGGGGCAGCTGTAAAGGAAAAGGGACAGTGAGGCAGCACACATTCGGGCTTTCCATCCAACACTCCAACCACTTTCACCATTTTGAAATTTAACGAGGAGCCATTTGGTTCCTGGGTGAACCCTCTTTCCCACCAAGGAATGTGGGCCATGGACCATGGGCTATGCAAGGGTGATCCCCAGTCATGGGCTTGGGGGAGCCCAGAGGTGGCTTCCCGGCCCAGGTCTGACCCCTCTGTCATTTTCCCAGAGCCCTCTCAAGCCTGGTCTGAGATCCCCAAATCAACCAGTTACCAAGTCCTCCCCACCTGTGAGACAGGCCAGGAGGGCTGTTGTCCCCACCTTCCAGATGCAGAAACTGAGGCCCAGGGAAGGAAAACAACTTGCAGAAGGCAAGCAGTGGGCAAGTGACAGAGCTGAGACTTGAACCCAGGACTGCCTGCCTCCAAAGCCTGTGTTCTGACCACTGTGTCACACTTCTGTCCCTCTCCCGGTTTACTCATCTGTCATTTCACCTGGCCATGTGCTCCGGAGGTGGGAATGTATGTGTCTCTTCCTCTGTTTTCACCCTGGTGGCCAGCACTGAGGTGGGCTCTGAGGAGGTGCTCAGAAAATGTCAACCGACTAAATTTAACTCCAAGTGTTCCAGCAGCCTGGACCTAAGCAGCTGAGTTTCCAGGATGGGGCGCCTGGGCTCCTCAGGGTGGATGGTGAACCCAAGAATCAGCTGGACATTTCCAGGCCATCCTGAGAGACCACAGCAGGTCAGGAAGACACACTGTGGGTGGGATACTGGCCACCCGGGAGGCAGAAACACAAAGAACAGCAAAGCCAGTGGGCGGCAGAGGCAGGAAGAGACCACAATGGGCCCCGGCTGACCGGAGATGTCCCAGTTGTTAGCGCCAGCTCTCCGCCTGTTCCCATTACACTGCCATTCAGCCCTGCTGAAGCTCAGGGGAAGCTGGGCAGGAGGAGGGTGGGCAAGGTTTAAGTGGCCACCAGCCGGGAGCCCTGAGGGAGGAGTGCACCCCAGCCCCCAAGCTGAGGCCACGCTTCCCAATCTCCCTTGGGTCCTACACTCATTCACCCAACAGTCATTGGGCACCCACGATGTTCTGTGCCCGTGCCCAGCCCTGGGAGTAGGCTTGGCCAGCAGAGCCAAGCACGCATCAGGCATGTCACACAAGGGGGTCCATGGTCCCTGGGTGGGGCAGATCCTCCTCGGCCAGGGAACTGCCCTCGCCAGCCCCAGCCTGCAGGAAAGGCTGGGTGTGCTCCTTGTTCACCATCTTCTCTGCCTCAAACTGAACTTTCTGCACATGTTGATTTGAAAGAGACAAGAAACCTTAGGAGTCATGAGCAATGTTAATCAGAGACCATCCTGCCAAGAGGAGCTCTAGCTGAGGCCCCAAATGCATCTCTTAAAAGCCTCGCTCAGGCCCTTGCTGCTGCAGCGAGGCTCTGGGGGTGCGGGGAGGCGGGCAGGAGTGCGGGCGCCAGGACTCAGGACACCGGGTCCTGCGGCTCCAACTCCGACAGCTGGAGAGGTGGTCACTGGATTTCTGCAAACCCTGGGACCCCCAAGGCTGTCTCAGGGAGCAGGGGCAGGGGAGGAGGCAAGGGCTCCCCACAAGTGCCTGAAAAGACATCTAAGCATTGGAATGTGCACCTTGAGTGCTCAGTGTTTCTGAGCCATTGCCTTCACTCCCAGCAGCTCCTTGGCTCCATGGAAAGCCACACTCGCTGTGTTTGCTGACTGACACTGCTGGAGAAAGGCAAGACAGTTCACACCAGAACAACGGCCCGGCCAGCCAGGACAGGCGCGTGCATACACACACACGCACACACACGCGCGCGCGCACGCACACTTGCACGCACACACACACCCTCACGTGCCAACCCAGTAGGCTCCAAGGGCTGTGGTCATCTCTCCTGAGCAGTGCTGGTCTTAGCCACCCACAGTCTCCAGCCCCAGGAGGCCATGCCCGCACAGGCTGGCGCTCACATGCGACCCAGCACACGGGAGGTTTCTCTGCCACGCCCCAAGGCCTCACGCCACCCACTCTGACCAGCCACCACCCAGTGGAGGATGGTGCTTACCCTGCCTCTCACTTCAAGCCTTAGGTTGGGGCCTCCCAGAGGGGAAGATCCAACCAATTCCCAGCGGACTCCCCGCACCCGGGCTAAGGGTGGGGACCAGACAAATGAGCACTGTCCAGCTTCTCAGAGCAACCTCGGGGTCCACGTGGGCATGTCAGGTCTGGGAGGGAACACACTGGACGGCCCAAGCCTGGTTTCACAGTCAGAAAATCCGCAGCCCAGAAAAGGGAGAAAGGAGCAGCTGAAGCCACACCACACGTCAGCAGCAAAGCCGGCCCAGGGCCTCACGCCCCCAGCTACTGCCCTCAGCTCTTCGTCTGCCCTGCCGCTCCCAACCGGCACCCAATGCTCAGCCAGTTTGAAAGCCCTCTTCCCCCTCCCTCCTTTCAGCAGGAGGCTGAGCTGCCCAGGGTCCTGGGCTTGCAGGCCCCAGACTTGTGTGATGAGCCTGACTTGTGTGATGGTTCTTATAATCAATCAGCCTGTATTACCAAGCACAGACGCCCACCAGCACCCCTCAAATCTGACTGGGTCCTAGATAGTGGGAGCTGGGGGTGGGCAGGCGTGTGAGTGCATGTGTGTGCAGAGGGGTGGGAGGGACGGGAGAATGGGTGTGTAGGGGAAGCTGGGCGTGAGGGACAGAGGGAAGGGCAGGGCAGCGGGGAAGCCAAGGGCAGAGTCACTGTAGCTCTCGCCCGCCCGGCTCCCGCAGGTACTGGGGGGCTCCTTGGAATGCCAGGATCTCAGCTGAACTTGCTCAGAGGGCTGCTCCTCCCCATGACCTTGGTCAGGCCCAGCCCACCCTGCAGGGGAGGCTGGCCCCAAGCAAGGTGACTTGCTTTTTCCCCTCAGTGGGCACAGTGCTCAGTGGGCAGGAGAAAGCCAGAGGCAGAGAAGGAGAAGTTGTAAGTGACTTCCTGTGGGGCTGCGAGAATGGAGGTTCTCACACGCCCTGGGTTTCTAAGGAGGAAGAACAGCGGGGGCACCGAGCACGCAGGCCGGGTTTGCAAACAGGCAGGAAGTTTTCCTGGAGCAAAACCCGTCAAAACAGAATTCTTTCACTGGGTAATATTTTCCTCCCTGCCCCTGTCACCCATGCTCAAACAGGTCTGGTGTTGTTTTCATAATCTGGGAGAGGAAATTGAGCCCCTTTCAGCAGAGACCTCAGGCGCCAGACCAAACCACTCGACAGATACTCCTGCTGGTTTCCCATTCCCGAGTGGAGGGGAGGGCACCGTGGCAAGTGTGGGGTAGAGACTCGCTTCACCCTCCCACGTGCTCCTGTCCCGGATGTGTTGCCTGGGCACACAGTGTGGGTCAGCCATTTTGCATAAATGACCTAATTTAATCTTCACAAAAACCTTCTGAGATACTATTGGTGTCCTCACTTACACATGAGGAAACAGACTCAGAGAGGTTGAGGAACTTGCCTGAGGTCACACAGGTAGTGAGGGGCAGAGCCAAGATTTGAACACAGGTCTGTCTGAAGCCAGCGCTTTTCCCACTCCACTCCCAAGCCTCCCTGAAACCTCACTGGAGAGAAGCCTCCCGGCAAAGCTCAGGGTGTATGGGCCCTGGCAGCCTAGGCTGGAACGCCAGTGTCTGAGAACCAGACCTAGGGGCACACATCCCATCCATGCTGCCCAGAGCAGGACTCAGGGAGAGTGCAGAGGGAGTCCAGGGCATCTCGGGCATGCACTCACCTTCCTGCAGCTTCACGCTCTGGAGGTAGAGGGGGTTCCTCAGGACGTTGCAGCGGCCTGGCTCATCCTCCTTGGTGAAGAGCAGCAGGTCAGAGTAGGCAAACAGCGTCACCTGCACAGGGAGAGAGCAAACAGAGCTCGCTGTCCTGCTGTCCCAGAGGCCAGAAGCCACAGCCTCCCCTGGGAGTCCAGGTAACGAGTCTCCATCATCTCGGGCATAACCAGGAGCAGATGCTCAGCGTGGCCTAAGCCAAGGGCAGAGACCTGACCTGCAGTCAAGACTGCCCTTTTGCCTACTCCTCACAGAAGGAAAAAATAACAGAACAAAAATCAGCCCTCATCCTCATTCTCCATGCCTCCTGACGGCCTCTGCCAGCCTCTCAACAGCCCGACACCCCACAGGCCCACCTCTCTGACCAAACGCCTCTGGAATCTCCAGCCCAGTGCCCTTGGCTTGGAGCCACGCTTGAGCTGCAGGATGTGCCACATTTGCTTGCATTCTCCTCTAAATGTCCAGCTGAAAGAGCACTGGGCTTGGAGTCAGAAGTCAAGGCACCTGTCCCACTAAGTAGCCATGAAAACTTGGTTAAGTCTGCTGAATCCCTTCTGCCTCAGTTTTTTTTCATCTGTGCAAACAGGGGGGAACGTCCCTGCCCAGCTCCCTACAGCCTTCTTTCACAAGGTCTGTGTAGACAGTGAATTTGAAGCATCATGCAATGTGAGTATTCTTACCAAATTCCTTGTAGATAATTTTAACTGCATTCATGCACAATCAGTTCAAGAAAAAGCCAGTTACTTATGCTCCAACACAGACATGCACAGAGCTTTTATCTCTTTTATACACTAGCTGCTCCAAAAATAAAGGAGAAAGATATTTTTAGACATTATAGGTAAACCATCAGGCATGCTCAGCATATTTTTATGCTAAAAAAAAATCCACTTGATCCTCTAATGCCAGTAAAGATTACACTGTTCTTTGTTTTGTAAATCCTGTGGTGGCCTTTAGTCAAAAGCAATAAAAAAAACCCTATTTTAGATTCTCCGAAGAAAACAAAATATTATTAATTTTGTGGAATTCCCTTTGAGGTGTCAAAATCTGACATTTCATCTCATCTGGGGTAAGAAGAGTCCGCTGGAAGGTCGGCATGCACTACGAAGGGCCACGGTGAGTGTGTGCTGGGTTGTTGACAAAGTTTAAAAAGCCAGCGTGCTGACATTTAGCTGTCAGACTGTTAAAGATGACCTAACAACTCCACCTCTATGACTCTAGCCTATAGAAATACTTACAAGGACATATAAATATGAACATGTAGGGATGTTCTCAGCATTACAAATTTTTGTAATTTTAAAAAAGAACATAAACACCCATTAAGAGAGGATGGATAAACTAAATTATGCTACCTTCATGTGGTAGAATTTTATGCAACTATTGAAAGAATAAAGTAGAGCTATGTGGGCAGAAATGGAAATCTATCCATCATAAATCAAAATAGTGCAATGCCCAAAAAATACCTAGCATATAATTCAACTTCGTAAAACCAAACTGTAAATCTGTCTGTATTTGTACATCTTTTAACGTCTAAAATACTCATCACAGTCTTCACTGTGGCTTGACTTTATACATTTCTGTTTAATTTGCATTAGTTTGTAATGAGAATCTGTTACTTTTATAATTTAAAAATACATAAGTGTTTTTCAAGGGACTACGTGGCACACAGAGGTTTGAGGGAATCTGGGCCACAGAGACGATAGGGGGCATTCTTGAGCAGGAGGCATTCAGGGGCTCTGGCTTATCTAATGGGGACCAAACACAAGGGCTCCTGAACCCTGGGCTGGAAGGCATCCTGGCAGTGACTCTCTCTAAACCCCTTCCCATCACAGCCCTGACCCAAAATAGTCCACAGAAGCCTCCATTTACTGAGCACTTACTTTCTGCTCAGTGGATCCTCACTTGTAACTAACATCATTGCCCTCATGTATGGGTGAGGACCCTACAGCACCGAGAGGTTAAGTGACCTGTCCAAGGCTACACAGCCAGATACCACTGCCCAGGTCTGGATGACCGCAAAGCTCTCACAATATGGTGAGGTAGTAATGTGCCTACAGTTGTCCTGTCCCTGAATGTGAAAGAATCCAAGCAGGGACCAGAAAAGAGGAACAAAGGAGACAGAAACATGAAGTCAAGGGAAGGGAAGAAAATGATCTCAGAGTTCAGAAGGAGTTTAGGGGTTGGTTGTCTGAGGAGAAGACTTCAACGTCCAATGAGCGGAAAGGAGAAGGCTCTACACTAGGAGAGCACAAGACAGACCCTCAGGCTCCCCTGACCCACTCAGTGGGAACCAGGAAGTGGTCTCTGGACTCACAGGGAAGCTGGCAGGGGAAGCGTCAGAGGAGATAGTGTGTCAGGAGCCTAAAAATTCAAAAAACAACCCAGGCCCAGAGAGGGCTGGATGGATGGCAAGTGGAGAAGAGGCACGAGCAAGGTGAGAAAAGACCCAGGTCGCTGCTCTGGCCCAGATCCCCAGAGCTGAGAATGTGGTCTAGACAGGAAGTGATTAAGGCCTGAACGAAGAATTTCCCCAAAAGCCGGGTCAGGGAAAGGACAGAGCTGCTGCACAGCGGGAGACAGGGCAGAGAGGCGAGGGTGCCAGAGGAGGGCAGGTGGGCCCCTCTCCCGTCTCACCAGCACCCTGCAGGCCTCGCTCCCCGCAGGAGCCACAGCAGCCCGCAGTGCAGTGACGCCCATCTCCACAGCCCAGTTACCTTCTGCTTCCCACAGCAGGCCCTGGGGGCCGCCAGCTGTCTTCCCCACACTTGTTCCAAGGACACATCTGTTTTCCCAAAGGCTCGAGAGTCGAGGAATCGCTTGGTTAGGAAATCCTTGCGACTTGAAGGACCACTAATCCCGCGTGGTCCTAACCAAGCTTCCTCAGAGGAGTCTTGCCTGAGGGCAGGGTTTGCAGCAAAGGCCTTGGTGCCCAAGCAAACGGTAAACTTAATGAGTCGGTGTGTAAAGTGAGGGCATGTCTGTCTTGTGCCCCATAGGACTCCTGGAACCTCCAGCACAGGGCCTGGCTCCATCGTAGATGCTCAGTAACCATTCTTTGAACGTAGAAATGAGTCCGTACCAAAACGCTGATTTGATCTCAGGGCACATTAATCAAGTTGATGACTTCCGGGAGGGCGTGTGATGAGGGCAGTTCACGGTGTGGGATTGGATCAGCTCACGGAGCATGCCCAGAGAAGAGAAGGGACACCAAGCCAAGGGGGAACATTCCATGAACATAGATTTCTGTCGAGCACCAGGGAGAACTTTCTACAATTTAGGGCTCTCTGGTAATAGAACCACTGCCGGGAGGGCTCCCTCAGCAGACTCAAGAAGAGGCTGGAGAACGATCAGCTGGAAAGTTACAGGGAAGCAATTAGAATGGATGGCTCCTGAGGGCCCAGCCACGATGCGATTCTCTGAACTTCTCCAAACCCCTCTTGAATTGGTTTATATTTTTGGCCTGAATAACACGACAGGTTACTAACAGCCACATATTTGCTTCCTATCATATTTCAAGAAAAAGAAATGCATTATTTTTCCTTGTCTTCAAATCATTTCTTTCAACCGTCAAAAGGGGTCTCTTAGTTCTAGGGCTCCAAAGACCCACTAGGCAAAGAGCTTTTGGACAGATTTTAACTATCATCAGGCCCTGGTTTCAGCTTATGTTTGTTAGTTTGTTTTTAAACAAACACACCAGAGCCAGCATGGGATGCTGGAAAGAACTGCTGAGCCAGAGAGATCCCAAGTGCTAACCATGGCTCCATCTTTTAGAAGTCTTGAGACCCTCAGGTCCTAGTAAATCTCACTGGAGCCTCAGTTTCCTCATCTACTGAGTAGGGACAAATGTGCCTCTCCTCGGGAAGCTGTGAGAGTTAGCTGGGATCAAGAATGGAAAACTTGCACAGTGAGGATAAATAAAAAGTGCTCAAGGTTTGCAGGCTTAATGGTGAGTGAGTAGGGGAAGAAAAGAGCACATTGAGACATATGAATGTATTCCACAGTGGCTGCCATTTCTAACTGCCTCCTTCTGAGTCTTGTGAGTTTACAGCCACACACCTCAGGTTTCTGACCTTGGGCTACCTGACTGAGCTCCACCACACACTTATTCACCAAGCATAGCTCCAAAGGACTTCTCGTTCCTAAAGCCCAAATCCCCCGCAACGGATGAAGTTTTACTCCCACAGAGGCAATTCAGAAGTTACGCCAAGGTTCTTAAGAAAGTTCCCGAAGAGGAGGTCCAGAAATGTGGTAAGCAACGCCAGTGTGGTAGAAATAATCCTGCAGTCTCCCCAGGGAGCGCCCCTGAAAGACAACGCTCATTTGGAAAATATGAGTTCTGGTCTGCTTGTTTCACAAACAAAACAAAAGCAGCCTGCTTTAGTCACAGCTAAACAAAATGTCCCGGAATGCTGAGGCTGAAAGGGCCCTTAGAGATCAGCTGACCTCAGACCCTGCCCTTGTTGCCTCAAACACACACACACCCCACTGTTCCGATGGGAAGACTGAGGAAGAAGGAAGAAGTCGTAAGTGAACCAGCCGCAGAGCAAGAGCTGGCTACATGTCTTCTGCCTCCAAGTTTCCAGATCTTTCCACCACCCCAAGCTGTCACTCAACTCAGCCAAGCCACACTACCAGCTCTGAATCAGGGCCTGATTGGAGGCAAGCCCCCTACCCTCTCTTCAAGGCTCCCAGGTAGCCCACTCAGACCCCAGAGCTCCAACCTCTGTTCCCAAGTAGATTTAAACTCATGAGACTGAGCCGGAACCTGGCCAGCTCTGGGGATGGTGTGGGTGAATGAAATGCCCCCAGTTAGAGATAAGCCGGGGCCAGCTCCCTGGGTGACCTACACACCCAGGTCTCTGTTGGCAGAGCTAGAGCCCAAAGAGAGATCACAGACTTATCCCTCAGGAGAAGATTTTGGATTTGGGTTAATATACACCCGAAAACCCAGGTAACGGGTGCTCTTCTAAAATTCTCTTTGGCTAACAGCTTTATCTTCTCACCCACAAAGTCATTCATCACAGCTGGGGTGAAATGCCATCTCTCCTGCTCCTTAGAGGAAGATGGGAGAAACAGTGGAACGTCATTAGGTGTTGGGAAAACTCTCTAACCATCAAAGATGCACTCTATCGCTTTGAGAGGTGGCAAGTTCCCTATCACTGGAAATATACCAAAAAAAGCTGGGTAGCCATTTGGTAAAGAGGGCATGGAGGCCTTTTCCGGTCTTTTCTACCCCAATTGTACAATTCTGAGACCATCAGGAAGAGAGGAAAGTTAGGGGCCTGGAGGATGGCTGATGAAGCCCACCAGAAACCCCACCAGGGAAATGTGTCTTACCTCGGCAGCCTTGTTTCTCCCCTCATACAGCAGCAGCTCCTCCGACAACAGGAGGGTCCGGGCAGGGTTACAGAGATCTAAAGGCTGAAAACAAAGAGGACAGTTCAAAGAGGCCTGGTGGCAATGGGGGGGAGGGGGAGGG